GTGAGCGGGTGTGTCTGTCTGGCCGGCTACTGTGCTCAACACCGCCGCCACCGTCTAGCCGCTACCTACATTTATCTCTCCCCCTCACTCATTAACTCCTCTCTATTATTGTTCCTTGTTGTCGTAAATTACAGCTCTTATTCATGCCGGGAATCTACGGGAGTTGGTTGAGGTAGTGGGAAGAGAAAAAAAAACTGTGTTAGATTGAGGTTAGGGTGTGTTGCAGAGTGTATTGGGGATGGGTGTAGGCGATACCTGGGGTGAGATGTGCTGGCAAGTCTCCGCCATTAGGGCTTTGGTTAAGCGGACTCGGCGGTTGGTGCAGCACAACCCGATACTTAGGAGCTGTAAAGAACATCAGAGTCGGTCAGCGAGGGAGTGTGGTCAGCTGGGTTTCAGGGAACACTTGATGGCATCTCGCTGGGTGGGGTGCCACGTTTGCCGGAATTTTACTCGCTGTGCCCTAGCTATGGGTAAGTCTTGGGTAGGCAGACGCTGGGGGCACTCTAGGTGGGTAGTATGGGCGGGAGAAGGTGGTTAGAGAGCGTGGTGGGCGGGTGTGAGGGTGGAGGTGGGGCAGGTGGAGAGGGGTGGTCCAGGTAGCGAGCTCTGGCATCAGTGTGCGTAACACAGTGGCGGGTTCCTGCCACTTGGGCCCGCCTACCAGCCTGCCCGCTCCCGACACTCACCCCCCTCCCCCCTTCTCTCTCTTCTTTCTCTTTCTCTTCTCTTTCTCTTTTCTCTCTCTTCTCTTATATCTCTCTTCTTTCTTATATCTTCTTTTTTTTTCTTTTATATCTCCTCTCTTATCTCTCTCTTCTCTTACAGTAAATCTCTTCTCTTCTTTATCTCTCCTCTCTTATCTCTCTCTTCTCTTACAGTAAATCTCTTCTCTTCTTTATCTCTCCTCTATTCTCTCTCTTTCTCTCTCTCTCTGTATTCTCTCTTTTCTCTCTTCTTTCTCTCTTCTTTCTCATTCTCTCGTCTCTTCTCTCTCTCTCTCCACCTTGCCCACACTAATACCACTAGCCGCCCCCCCCTCACCCCACCTCCTACCCACAGTTACCCTCCTCCACACCCCCACACACCTCCCTGCCTCCCTTCTGCCTTTAGGCCCTCTCCGTCACCTCTTCCCTCTCCACTCTTCCACATCCTTCTCTCTTCCCCCAACCACTTCCCTCTCTCCACCTGTGCCCACTTCACCGTCCCAGCCTTCTTCATCCACCTCACCTGCACCCTAACATACACCCACTTCACAATGGTATATGAAGTCTCCTTGAAGTTCTCGTTGTAATATACTAACTATTAGGGGTTAAGCCATGCCTACCACCTTGAATATTTCCAGAGATTATACCCGCCTAGTGAATATACCCATCTTAAAGTATACCCAAAAAGTATACCTCCTCCTGAATATAACGAACAATTATACCTGCCCTGAGTATAACCAGAGCCAATTCCCAGAGTGTTTTTTTCTTCGGTTTAGTTATAATCAGTGAGTATACCCTCTTAAATATACCCATTCCTAGGTATAACCAGTCGGTATAAACAACGCCATCAGTACACCCAGTGAGCATACCCACGTTCCGAGTATAACCACCCCATCAGTGTAGCCAGAGAGTATACCCACCCTTTAAGTATCTCCAGATATGCTCATTCTGAATTTACCAATGAGTTTCCTTAGCTCGCGAGTCTGAAAATTAAGTACAGTATACTCACTCCTGAATAAAATGAACAAGTACACCCATCACCAGAGTATAACCAATAAGTATGTCTACGCTGAGTTTGACCGGTATACAGTATGTATCTACTTCTGGGTGAAACCAACGAGTATACGCATTTCCTGAGTATGACCCACCCTCTTAAGTATAACCATGGGGGATAACCACCTTTGAATATAAACGGTGAGTATAACCAGGCGGTATAACGTTTTGTTCTTCCGGACGAGATCTGAGTAAGCTGCTGCTGTGAAGGGTCTGTCTGCCTTTTTGCACGTTATTTCGTTTCAGCTGTCAGTCATCTCTGTAAGCACCTTTACTGCCTGACTGACACACTGAGAGAAATTTCTATCATGCCCGAGGCCCGCCCCTGGCAGTCTTAACCCACAACGGGAGATGTTAATGATTTTTTTCCACATGGTGTTATGTCTCCATGTTTTGTAAGAACTCACTTACTATTGTACCCTGTTTTGTTATACTTATATATTGCAATTATTTTCAGCTTCGGATTTAAAACTAATACAGTATGTAGTGATGGAAGCTTCGTATGACCAGTTAGTCAATTTTGTATCTTGTTGAATTCATCATAATTAAATAAAATCTTTAAGATCAATGAAGCCATAAAAAACACATTTTGTATGGTGTAATTACTCCAATATTACCCACGTTTAAATGTATTTTAGCAAGGTTAGTACGAGTCCGTTAGGTTTGTAGTGGATCTGTTTATCTAGGGCGAGGCATCATGTGATACACCTACCACCTGTGTATTGTCTCAGTTGGCTTCTTCGGTATGGTTGCGAACATTCTCTGGGGGAGGGGGGTTACAGATTTCGGGGGCGGATCCAGGAATATCAAAACGGGGGTCCAAGAAGTTGTGGTTGGGGCAACATGGCGACCAAAGCGAGTCCACCTAACATTTTTTTTTGGGGGGGTGGCGGCTGTAAGCCCCCAGAATTTTTGTTTTTAATCTGACCAATATCATGGGCATTTTGGGGCCATTTTGGAACCATATGTACTTTATATTAGGAGATATTCTGAAGTCAAAAGTAATTACTTTTTACTATACAAAAGCGCCCGAGTACAACAGTGAATTGAAGAAAAAGTATTGGAAATTTTCTGATGAAATGGGGGATCCGGACCCTCAGATATCCCGATCCGTCCCTGGATTTTCTTGAAACTTGGCAGAAACATTGGTCCACCTTCCCTCCTTCATACCAATATCTCACATGAATTTGGTAATCGGAATGATATAATTAAAAATCACGATTTGACAGTCATTTTTCTTTCATATAGTTTCCATACATAGCCTCAGTACCTGGGTGTGTTTCTCCGTCAATTACGCTTAGGTGAATACACAGATGACTGGTCCAACATAAGTGAACTGATTTAAGTGGTGTCCTTCAACCCTCATACCTGAACTGAGGTGAACTTGAGTGTAAACCATCTTAAATAAAGACACTTGCGTTATTCTTGACCACCTCGAGACCCAGGCAGTATATCATGCCAGCAGCAAGGTGGATGACGTGTAACTTTAACGTGTAGAGTTTTATTTTTATTTTTTCTGTAAGACACCATCATGGTCCAACAGATTTATCAGTTAACATTGATAAAAGATTGTTAAAATGTCTGTTATGCTTTTAGGCATACATACATACTGTACCTACATACAATCGTGGTCAAAAGTAATCATCCACTTCACCACCTAACCCTTGCACTTGGCTGGGTCCTTTCTGCACAGAAAGTCACGTGGGGAGGGGAGGGCTGTGGAAGGGTGGAATGTGATTTAAGTTGTTTATCAGAGAGGGAGGGGATTAAAGAAATCAGGGAAATTCAAGAAAGAAGAAAGAGGGGGATGGAAGTAATTTTTTCATTATATTATCTTTGGTTTACAGGCTTGAAAGAGTGATAGATGAAGACCTGTATTTTATGATTATTATAATGTCATCCATTTCCTTATTTAGCATTTTTTCAAGTTCAGGTTTTATACAAGGGTGATTAGAAATTTATAATAATGTTGATATGAAGAGAAATATTGAATGCAAGGGTAGAAATCATATTTATTTTTAATATTTATCATCACAGGTCATACAGAATCTCAGTAACCCGTCCATCGTGGTCTCCCCGGCCTAAACTGATATAATTTATATGAATTAAGAGTGTAAACATGTTTTGTTTGCATTGCACACCTGAAATTCGTCATTTTATTATATCAAATGCCTCAGTGACCCTAATCTCCCTTGCAATTTCTGACACGTTGTAGCCAGCCCCACGCAAACCAATAATTTGCCCGAGACTCGCCATTCCGCGTTTTTTTAGCATTCATCCTGGGTTGGATGTGGAGCAGTGGCCAAGCACCATTGCCACTATTCCCTCATCACCTCGCATTGATTATCACTACTGTAATAAACATATCCAATAAGTCGTTCTCTTTTTTTTTAAGAACGGTAATGGTGAGAGGTGGAAGTGATCAAGTAACAGCCTCCATTTAGTTTTCCTGGTGGTGAGAAAGCCACACCCCTCCTTGCGGATGCCAAACGCCTTATCAACCCTAATGACACATTACCTGCCAAAAGCTCGCTCACAATCCTCCCCGGTATTTCAAGTAAAGTCGTAGATAATTAAGGGAAAGTTAAGTCCATATGACACCTCTCCGGACGCCCGCCCTCCTGGCTGGTTGGTTGGTTGGGCTTTAGGCCTATCAACTGCCAGGGTCATTAAAGCGGTCAACGTTAAGCTACACCCACCAACCTTAACACTTTCTTTAGGTGTTGAGGATAATTCTAAGACCACATACAGTCTCACTACATATGTGGCCCTTGACTGGTGCCCTCCTACCTTACCCAGGTCCACCACCTCTAGCTCCCCCCCCCCCACCCTCTTGTGACCTGCCGTGTAGAAAGGCCTTGAGCTCACGGGTATGGTGGTAGGAGGGGTGGATGATTACTTTTGTTTGACCATGACTATACATACATGCATGATGTATATGTATTACCGGGGTAATGAAAAAAAATTATTTCTCAAGTTGTAGATATCTTTTAGAGTATGTTATGCTTTGATTGAGTAATTTTAGGGTTAAAAATATCCAAGTTTTTAATTGTTTTTCTTCCTTTTTGGTATTGAAATGTGTGTTATTTGAGAGAAAATAAACTATTAACATCTAACCCCTGAATGTAAGCAATATCAGTGGTGTTAAAAAATGCTCTTTGTAGCCTTAAAACCAGGAAAAGAAATTGCAGGCTGTTCGGATAACAAGAACGAGTATTTCAAGTGTAGCTTTACTTGCAGAAAAAGAAGTTTGAGGTGAGAGCGTTGAGTTACCCAGGGAAGTTGACGTTTTACACCACGAGCGATGAGAAGAGTAAACATTTGTTGTATCTGTGCCGCCTCACCCACCAGTTCAAGCTGGCACTCCAGCCCCGCCTCGCCGAGGTCCGTCGCCTTCAAGAGGAAGGTCAGTCTCCCGTCCTCAACTATTTAAGCTTTTACTTTGGTTTATCTTCCTCATATTCTTCATCTGTGAGTGGCCTTATTTCTTATTTTAATGTTTGTATTTTCTTTATTTGATTGTTTTTGTGGTGTTAAATATTATATGCTTGTTTCCTGCTGTTGGACTTTTGCTTCTCAAAAATTGCAGAAGTGGATTCAGGGATATCAAAGGGGGGGAGGTCCAAGAAGTTGTGGGTGGGGGAACATAGCGATGCAAAGAACCCACCCAGCTGCTTTGGGGGGCCTGGAAATTTTGGCCCAATATTATGGGCGTTTTGAGGCCATGTGCATTTGATATTAGGAGATATTCTGAAGTCAATAGTAAATACTTTTTACTATACAAAATTGCCTGAGTACGATACAATACTGCATTAAAGAAAAAGTATTATAATTTTCTGAAGAAAAGGGGGGATCCGGACCTCCAGGATCCGCCCCTAAATTGCTGTAGTACATGGTTTGAGAAACAACTGTGTCTTTGGCGAGTTAGAATAAATATTGTCTAAAATTATATGAGAACTGTCTTCACTTGTAGTAGGAGTAAAGAGTTGAAGGATGAGGGAAATATTTTAGAAGTTAGGAGCTCGGAAAAGGAAGCAATACTCTCTTGAATCTAGATCATATTACATACAGTATTGAAGCCAACAGGGGAAGGATAATTGTAGTCTTGGTCAAAATGTGTATAAAATCAACATTACAATTGTCTTTGATATAATGTGGCTTAAATGTGTACCTTTTTTTATCTACTTTTACTTTATCATCTTTGCCACTGATCAGCTTGTTCGCCGCTTGGGTGATTGGCCATATCTCTGTTATGCATTGTTGGCAGGCATGTACTGGGCATATGCTGGCTCCTGAATGTATCTGTACCTGCGCCAGTGTTGGTCAAGTTTGGTCTTGAAACAGCTCACACTCAGTGCCATCACAACACTCTCTGGCAGGATGTGCCAAGAGCTTACAATTCTCACTCTGAAAAGGTTTGCCCTCACATTTTTTTCTGGATTTGTCGCTTCTTCAACCTTGAGCTGTAACTTCTTGTGGGCTGGGCGTCTGCCAGTTCCATGTATGGGCACTCAACTTTAGTGCCCTCTGAGATGTTCATAAACTTCAATTAAGTCCCCCCTTGCCCGTCTATAGTATAAGCTAGCCAGTTGCATTCGTTCTAATCTCTCTGGGTAACTGAGGTGCCTTAGTGCAGGCACCAGTCTGGTGGCCCTTCTTTGGACATTTTCAATCTACTGACAGTCTCTAGCATATCTATGAGACAAGGCAGGGTGACAGGAAAGCACCTCACATTACGAGGGACAGATTGTCTAGATATCTGAACGACCTTCTTATAAGACCTACTAGTTTAGTTGCTTGATTCACCTTCTTCTCACAATGGCCCGAGAACTTCAGTTCAGTGTCAGCATACATACCTAGGGTCTTTTCACTTCGGTCTCTGTTAGTGCTGTTTCTTCATCCCGTTGGGACGTGTGATGCACATCCTAACTGTTAGTACGACGTAGGTGCATCCTCTTACATTCTGTGACATTGAATCTTAACAGCCACTTCTTCGACCACTATTGAAGCTGACAGAGATCCTTCTGTAGCTCTTCAGAACTCTTTTTCAGCCCTTCTGCACTCTGATTTTGCTTGGTTTCTGGGCCCGGCATACATCCTCCTGTCCTGCTCAACATCGGTCCTAACCCGCGTGTTGATTTTAGATTTTTTCTTAACTTTGTCACCCGTCACATGGTTCAGGTGTAACGGTCTCCTTGTATTCCTGGAGCCAGTGGGATTGGTGTTGGGTATATATTTATTGATCAAATAGTTTACTCTACTGGCTATGATATTTAGCAGTAGCTGCATTCTTATATCTTGGTGGGTCAGTCTAGTGAGTACCCTTCGTCCTGTCGTAATCACCGTTGTAATATTTGAACCTTGGCCTGCTTTTGTCGTGAACCAAGTAACAGTTAAAATGGAAGGACATTATGTTGTGACTGGCACTGTATATTGTACAGTATCATAAAATTAGGAGTTTTGCAGAATTTGTTAGGTTGGGTCAAGATCTTGAGTTAGTGTACTGTGCACACTGTAGTACCTAATCATGTTAAGTTAATTCAATTGTTGTTTTATTAGTTTAGGATAAAAATTATGGCTCCCACTCCTTAAAACTTACCTGAAGGGTATGTGAAACCTTGAAGTACAGTATACTACATATGTACAGTAGAAATCACTCAATTTTGGAGGTAACACAAATAACGGTACAGTATATTATACAGTATATTATTACTTTATCCTCTGCCACCTATTGGCCTGTTAGCTGCTTGGATAGTCGATCATGTCTCTCGTTCTACTTTTGGTTTTGTATATTTGTTACAATGCTCTTCTATTTGTCATATTTTATTGGATTTTGAATCCAAGGAATTTAGGACAAGGCATCTGAACATGCTTATTAAAGTAATTTGGCTAAACTTATATCCTGAGGACCACAGATTTTTCCTGTCATAATCTATCTTAATACTGTACCTGTAATACCAAATTTAAGAGCTTAACCAATACTGTATACTGTAAACTTAAGAACCCAAACTTGACCTTGCAAAATAGACATGAACATTTTACTTCTCCGCATTGGGTGCCTCTTCTTGAATGTGAGGGAGAAAGCAATGACATCGTATATGGAAGTTATGTAGTTGAGGAGTTCAGTTTTTACACTAACCTGAATGACCCAGGCATAAACTGTAACCCTCATAAGTACATATCGAATATGTACTCAGATTTAAGGAATGAGGGCCGAAGTCCAAATCCTGGAAATTAGTTTTGGTAATGTTAGGTTAAGTCTTAAAGTTAAGTCAGGTATGTAGTAAGGAAAAAATTGAGCCCCTCGCTCCATAAAGTTTACCCTTAAGTTAACATTTGAATTTTATTCAGTGGGCATAAAGATCCACTGCTGTTGTTGTAGTTGCTATCATCAGCATTATTACAGTATACTGTATATAGTACAGTATTTATTTTTGCTCATTGTTGTGTCGATAGGAACTACTGCACTAGTTTTCTGCCCTAATTTCTGAAAGGATGTCTTTAGTGTATCAGAATCCTAGATCTTGATCTGTACAGTACTACCATTGGACACCCATTGCCATCCTTAAATTTTGTCCCCCCCAAAAATCATACCTCAGCTAGGTTTCCTCAATTTCACAGCTATTTAAACAAAGCTGGCCTTGAGTGCTTTTGGACCTCCAGACTATCAAGTCTGGATTGATACACAATGAGAAAATATTGCAGGTCAGGCTTCAAAATGTCAAAATTTTATCTGAAGATTGATGGATAACTGAACTTTGCAGCGGCACATTGTGAGAACTGGTGACAATCACTGAAGAGCAATTTTCATCAAAACTGGCTAATTACTGTTCACAGAACACCATAACTTGATCAGAAATTTACTCAATTTTGAGTGCATTCTAGGCTAACTTTATAACTCTTGTACAGTTGATAACTTTGTGATCTCCTAAGGTTTAAAATTGTTGGTGTATATCAAAGTGTTGAAGAATCTTGGGGATAGAAATTTGAGAACAAATTTAAGAAATATTAGGCTGTTACAGAATTGTGAAGAGTGGTCAGTGAAATGAAAGAAGTGGCATCTTGACCTTCAGTTAAAAAGACAAACATAAATTTTCATCTCTATACAGTACTGTACTGTATATTGCTCTTGATGATACACTGGCAGACCGCAGGCGGTACCGTGAGAGCTACATCTACAGTGACCGATATGCAGAGATGGAAGGTCTTGCCGACACTTTAGGAGGACTCCGAGGATATTTAGCCAAAACCTCTGCAGATCAGCGAGTGTCGGTCATCTCCAACACGTCATCCAACACTACTTCTGGCATTGTTTCTGATCGTGTCTTATCACTTGATGGAAGTGAGGGTAAATATGAGACTATACAGTACAGTATATTATAGTCACTAAATCCTCAGTGCAATACTGTATACAGGTAGCTTATATTATACTGCAGTATAAATGAATTACATTTCTCCACCATGATGCAGTTGATTTTTTGTGTTCAACAAAGCCTGTTTGCAACAATAATGCTTGGACTTTTCTCTCCAGTTGTGTAACTCGCACAGATAACTGTGGATACCTACCTGTATGTGTATGTGTGTATTCATTGATGCAATTGTTTCAAGAATGGATGAACTTTAGTTATGAGATTAGAATAGAGATATATGAAGTTATGAGGAATGATGGGTGTAGAAAGGTGTAACACTGAAGTGATGTGTCAAAGGAATTATGTTTAGAGATTAACTTCCGAATAAGGTAAACATAGATTTATACATTGGAAGACTCAAAATTAGGTGAAAGATGGATAGAGTGGTGTAAATAATAATAATAAACATTTATTCAGTAAATTTGTCATACAGGTTTACAATTGGATAAGTATATTTATAAACTATGTAGTTATACATTTCAACATGAATATAGACAGTGTAGGTAGTAATATCTCTGTTAGCCGGAATCCCTCAACCGGAACTCTCCAATAGCCAGGATTGAAATTTTCTCCAAAGTCGGAATTTTCCGGAAAATTTCGGCTTTAGGAACAATTTTCTGAGAGATGATGTAATGTTTAATTTCTGGAACTTCCGAGAACATTTTTCTGTTACCTGGAAAATTCCGGGGACGAGGATTTTTTTCAGCTTTGAGAGAGTCATCTCATTACCTGGAAATCTCTCATTCCCTGAAGTGCTCTGCACCAATTGTTCCGGCTAACGGAGATATCACATATATGATGGATGTAGGCTGTGGAAGTATACAATTTCCTGTGTGCCAAGACAGTGCAGGTAAACAGCAAGACAACTTGGCTAAGGATAGCTGACAAAACTGTCAGTTGTTTATTTCCAGTAATAGTATGTCTACAGGAAAGTTCATCTTTGTAGGAGTCTTAAAAAAAATCACTTGTCTTTGGTGTATGAAGGCGGCTCTGATTGAGGCACTTGGTACCTTGAAATAGTTTTTATGATGTAAGTAAAGTAATTTTACTTGTAACTTGTTTGATGAGTCACCTGCTGAGAAACACATAAACTCATGTTAATAATTTTTCTCCAGTAGCATTTGAAATTTCCATCCGTACAGTTTCTTTTATGAAAAATTAACATAGATCCAAATTATTATTGTTTAGAGGTACCTATGACAGCTAGTGGGTTTCAAAACTAGGGTGACACTCATGAAGTTTATTCATCTGTAGAATATTTATATTTATGTTTGTCCTTCTGTTATTGCTGTATGGATTTAGGGGATTGTGTTTGTAGAATCTTCCTTAAACACTGCATTTAATTATTGGTTTTCATGAGTCGAGACACAACAGCAGTGTCTCAAACATTGCTGAAGAATTGTACATGTAAAGTACATGCTAAGTAAAACATTTAGACACTGAGAATGTGTTAGGTTTTTTATATACAGTACTTAATGTTGTCCAAGAAAATAATAAGTGATGGTAATGGAAGGAAATTGTGCATCAGGCCATCTATGTGTCATCCATGTCAGCTGGTCATCTACATACAGAATTATGGGAAATTTTTATACGATGGATTTACATACTGTAGATCTTTCAGGGTAGATGTATTTCCAGAAAAAAGTTCTACAGTGAGGCATACTTTTGTCAGATATTACTTTCAGTATCATAGATTAGCTAAAACTGGAAATTAAATTGAAGTACTTCCCTGTTTTAATTACTAGATGATCTCGACTCTGAGATTATGATCAACACACCACCTGCTGCGAGTATTGAGAGTGGAGTCGAGTCCCTCACCAGGTCCCTCTCTCGACTAGACTCTTCTTCAAGCAGTACCCATGCTCATACTCCAGACTTTGGTATGTAATGCCATTTCCTCTTTTACTTAAAATTTTGCTAGATGTATAGTATGAAGCAGACTTGTAGTTTTCAGTCTACTGGTATTCTAACTCGAGTACAGTACAGTTATCTGTACTTGTACTTATTCTCGAGCCTCTGTACTCATAATCATGTGCATACCTGTAAAATAATAGCTATACTGCCCATTTTGCTAAACCAGAAGATACCTATAAGAGATTGACTTTATCTTCCCTGCAAGATTTTTCCTTCAATCTTGTTGACAAAACAAATGTACAGTATACCAAAACTTTGCATCTTAAAGAACAGCCCGGCATTAGCCTACTAACATTTTCGGTGTGGATAGTGATTGATTGATTGTGGTAATTGCATCCCTTGCGACGCAACGGCTTAGGTCATAAGTCGCCAAAGTAAAATAAAACCTTACAGGACAAAAATCAAATAATGCAAGGTAAAAAAAATATAAATAATAAGTACCTGTAGCGTAAAACTTCGTAAAACGAAATGAACGTTAATAGATAAAACTTGAAGCTTGTGTAGAAGGCTGGCTTCCTCCGCCCCTCCCATCCTACCCACTCCTTACCCCAGTACCAAAGAGAGACGGTAAGACCCGTCTCCCCCGGCACTGGGAGAGGTGCTTATAACAAAGATCTCGGAGAATGGGGCACTTCACCAAGTGTCTTCGAACAGTCAGTGGGACCAGGCAGTCATCATAATGGGGAGGGGAAGCCCTCTCCATTAAAAAACCATGAGTCGGTAGTGTGTGTGGCCAATGCAGAGGCGGGCCAAAACAGTCTCCCAGTGGCGTGACAGTCCCTGATATCCCCAGGCACCGAAAGCAGGGTGGATGTTGCGGAACTTGTTTGTTCCAACAGCATCCCACCTGCATTGCCAACTCTAGCAGATGGCAGCTCCTATGACTGGCTTCATAACAGAGGCAGGTACCTGTAGAGGGGAATAATGTGCCACTGGGCGAGAAGCAGCTGCTTTTGCAACATCATCAACACACTCATTTTCCTTCTCCCCCACGTGGGCCAGGACCTAGAAAAAGCTGACTTTCTGGCCACAACATTGGATGAGAAACAGCCACTGTAAAATAGCTAACAGTGGCAGATTTAAGTGGGGCCTACCCCCACCAATGAAAAAATCTTTTTCAGAAGGTCGTCTAAGCACTAAGGAATGGGGGGCAACCATTATCTTGCACAGAGCCCCTCAGAAGCTAGAGCCAGCCCTGAACTTGGTAATATTCCCCAAGGGATGTAAGAAATGTTTAAAGTTCTAAAAGAATTACCAATATAATATTAGCCAATATCTATTGGTGTAATGAAAAGACCAAGTTGTAGCTAGTTAACAAAGTCACAACTGCACATACAGCAGTGGTATAAAAAGGAAAATGTTAGATTCTCTAAATAAATAAAGTATTTGAGTTGTTTTGAACCAAGCATTTTTTTCCATGTATAGTGGTAGAATTTTTATAAACTATCCATATATACTAGGAAAATATTGATAATGTTTTAAGTGTCTTAACTGAAGGGCCAATTCATTGTGGTTCCTGACATATGGATATGATTGTGAGATACTGTATACTGTACTCTTTTTATTAGACATTCAAAATTTATTGGATTTACTGTAATTAATTAAACAATTAGAATCTGGTGATGATAATTTATTATTTAAGTATGAATATTAATGGAGCAATTATTTTTCCTTTTTTTATTATTATCCAGATGAAGGGAGCCTAAATCATCCCTCCTTCACACCACCAGCTTCAACTCCCCCGACCGGTGGACGATTAACAGGATCAACAGGGATATGTGGAAGTGAGGCAGGTGGAGTGTCTTTAGGGCGAGCAGGTAGTGTCCATTCCTCCTCCTCCCAGCACTCTGCTTCCACTGTTCGTTCCAGATATTCTCTGGTCCCACATAGGCTTCCTCCAGAACTGACTTTAGGTGCAGAGCTTGCGGACATTTCCTTAGCCCCTGATCTTCCCCATCTTGCTGACTTGCCAGGTATGGCTGCAGATAGATCAGGACGGAATGGAGATGAAGAGAGTGATTTGTGTACAGGCTTGTCTCACACACAGCATAATTGCTGTTCTACTTGCTGTGATGAAGATAATGCATCCATAACATCAAATGATGACCCTGAAGGTGAGAATGATGAGGAGCGTTGTAAATGTGGGTCATGTGCCATGTGTATCCTACATCAAGCTTCTGCAGGCTTCTTGCATCAGAAACTAGACAGTGAGAACTCGAGTGTAGCAGCACAACGCGGGGACACAGGGCCACATGCATACCATGATTCTTTGGATTCTGCAAGTGCATCAGCTCGTTTCTTTGGAAGTCCAACCTTTGTAAGTGATGATGCCTCAGTAATGGTACAACCGGACCTTGATGAGTCAGGCAATTCCACTTACAATTTTTCAGAGGAAGATTTTAACCAGTTGAACAACAATGATGACTATGTAGAATTTTTTAAGGATGGCTTACGGTTTCCAGAGCAAAGCAGCAACCAACTTGAAGAGAGAGAAATAGAGGAGGAGGAGAGAACTATGACTCCACCAGCAAATGTCCACCGTGTCAGCCCACAGGGTTTGGGTGCTCAAGGGCTTGTTACACAAAGAGTTGGTGCACAGGGTGTTACTTCTCCACCAGAAGGAGGAGGTTCACCAACTGGATCAGATCAACAAGAAGAACACTTGGATTATTCTGTAGAAAGTGCACAAGCATCATTGTTAGCATCTTATTCACCTGCTTTAGCAATTTCTCTAGGAGGATACCGACCAAGAGCTTCAGTTTCATCTACATTTGATACAGATAGTGACTATGTGCAAGTGCCTGGAACTGATGATCATTTCTTATTAATGCCACCAGCTCCTGTCTCCATGTCTACTGTCAAAACTATCACACCAGTTGCCATAGCCTCCTCCCGTGTTAATACTGCTTCATCTATAGACATTCTACCCAAAAACAAGGATCCAGTAAGTAATAGGGCACCTCTTACATCACCAGATGCTGTTATTAGTGAGACAACAGTAGCCAGTGCAAGTGAGGCACCTGCAAAGTTCATAACATCAAAGCCTAGGATCACTGTGCTGAAAGCTCACACACAGTTGGCAGCTACAGCTGTTCCATCATTTACATCAGTGCCTTTGAGCAGAGGAGTAGTTCACACTTTACCGCAAGTTCAGCCCAGACCAAAAATAGACGCAGTCCAGTCTCTGCAACGAGGCACTGCACAGCTCCCTGAAATGCGACTCCTAGGTCTACCACCCCCCTATGCTCGTGACCATGGATCAAGTAAAATTAAAGCAACTGGTGTTCAAAATACTGTAGAAGTACCTGTAATTAGAAAGAATAATTACCTCGATGTACGTGCTTCTTCTATTAATAAGAACAAAGCCCGTGCCCATCCAGAACAGCATCCAACAGTTACTCCAAGAAGCCTCTACCTGAGACATCAGCAAAAAGCACTTCAACAGCAACAGTTAAAACAACAGCAACAACTACAGCAGTTACAACTACGTTTGAGCAGTGAAACTGTGTATCAACCAGCTGCTTATGCTCAGGTTGTTGGTGTACCACTTTTGCCGTCACCCACATACACGGGTTATCAACAACATCAACATAATCAGTCTGGAAATATACAACAACCTGTGTTCCAGCAGCAGCAACAGCAGCTCCAACACCCCCAACAAAATTACCTTTATCAGCCATATATAAAGAACTTCTTCCAGAATCCCCCTCCACCTTCACCACACCATGGTTATGGTGTTGGTGCTGGCCCAGGAGGTAGTGGATTCCAGGTCAGTGTTGAGGCACCATCACCCACCCACCAATGTGCCAGTGATCCTGGTACTTATTCTCCACAACAGCAGCAGTCACTGGCAACAGTGTATACTAACCAAGTCAGCTTGAGTCAGATTGAACAGTTCAAGGCACAGCTTTATTCTGATGTAGATTATGTTATATATCCTATGAAGGATCCTGCACTAAGTCGACAGGAATACATGGATGCTAAAAAGGGACAGGTGATTGCTACCCAGGCTCAACAACAGGCCAGTAGCAGCAGTAGCAGTAGCAGCTTTGCTTACTTACCTCCACCCCCACCATATCGCAGTCCAAAGTTGTCACCTCTTTACAGATCAACACCAAATGTTGCAGCAACATTAAGCAGCTGTAGTGGGAGTGGCAGTGGTGTAGTGACAAGTGTAGGAAATGCCTCAGTTCTGTCATCTTATCCATCTTGTCAGAGCCTTACCTCGCACCAGCCTGGTTCATCTTCAGGCTATTCCTCAATGGCACGAGGACGTTATTTCTCACAGCAGTCCCTAGCATCCTCATCCCTGTCTTCAGCACCGTCTGGTTATTCTGCTTCAACACAGTCACTTACTGGCAGCTATGAGCCATACTCTGAAGTGATGCAGCGGGAATCATCCATGCTTCGTGTCCGCTCTGATGAGTCCATTCTTTCTTCAGCATTAGCAGAATCGTCAGATTCTCAAATACCAACTGGCCATCCGTTGCCACCACCCCCACCTTACCGGCCCAAGGTGAGGACAACTCACAAGTACGTGGCTTCTCAGTGCTGTGCATGACTTGCTTGGCCCAAGTTGTTAGTACTGTCAACTTTATTATTATGTTATATGTAGTGATCTTTGCTCATAATTCCATTTCAAAATATGTAAGTATTCATTCAATTAAGATAAAGAAGAGATAATTGAACATGTATTGATATCTTGGGCCACTTTGAATAACATAACTGATGTCTGATGCCTCCTCTGTTCTGCTATTGTAATTTCTTTTAAACTCACTTTCTTATAAAATTGGAGATTTGGAAGTCTTCTCTAAATAAAATGTAGAAATTATTTAAAGATGACTATCTAATGCTTATTGACGTGTGGCTTAAGCAGATATTATCTAATATTATATGCGTATATGTTTTTTGCATGTATGCTTGTTGCATATACAGTATCAAGAATAACATAAATGTGTGTGATGTAAATCATGAATTTGAAAAGCAGCTGTATTAATGTACCTGGTAGATACAGAATGACTGAATACCTGAATATGGGTTTAGCTTTTCTTTTATGATAGCCAAGTTTTTAAAGATTTTACAACTATGGTGCATACTGATAACTTAAATAAGGCCATGGATCACTCAGAATTTCATGCATTTATTTATACTTTATTGTTAATGCTTAAATGTCTTAAGAGTCAATAATGACAACAGAGAATTTATTTTGGATTAAATTTAGTATATACTGCATCTCTTAAGAGCAAGCATATCACAATTGTAATTACCTTAGTAGTGGAAAATTTGCTCAACAAGAAGAACTTTTGGAGTGCCAAGCCTTAACATCACAAGAATGACATGCAAAAGCAAGTGGAAATTATCTTGTCTGCCCCCTTTAATCCCTTGAGTGAATCTGCTTTCAAACATTATGAGTGCATAGTTTGGTGGTATATACTGTATGGCACCTCATGATGGTGGTAGAATTTTTAAATAATGAAATGATGGCAATAATTTATGGCTTTCCTGTAAATGTTAACACTAAAACCCTTCTTGTTCGAATTAAAAAAAAATTCTATACCTGGGTTTGGATTCTTTTGGGTGCTAAAGTGCTGTTATAACAAATCACTGTTCACGTTTTGGAGCTTGTAAGCAACACTTACTACCTATTTGACATACTGTACCATATTGTCTTGGAATATTTTTATTTTCCAGCAGTGTGTCATCTGAGTTGGCATGTATCACACTAGATTTGTATTGAATATCCATCATTAAGTACTTACTGATAAATTATTATTAGATTATTTTGACAATTTCTTGTGTACTGTAGTCTCGTGGAAACACTTCTTTTAACAACGTAGATTATTAACATTGTTTATTCAAAGTTATTCAGCAAGTTATCCAGCCTAAGTTAGTACTGTAGTGTAGTCTGATTTTATTTAAACACAATTGAGATAAATAAAAGAATAATACTCTATAGTTACTGTATGTGCAATATTTTGGTTACAGGAGACCCTGGACGGGACTGGGAATGTTGTTGGGGCCACCACGGGAGGTGCTGGGAGGGTACGTAGCCGGAGGTCAGGGGGGGTCCTCAGCTTGCAGCAGTTGCGGGAGCGCAGCCAACTCATGGATGTGCCACTCATCGCTGCCCTCTGCTCAGACGCAACACTCGTCTCGCGTTCAAGCCGCACCCCTTCCACCGATTCCTCCACAACACCAGGCAGCAATACCCCCCCACCTTTCCAATCTGACTCCATTAGCACGTCAAGCACTCGTCCCTGGGACTTGGACACATCTCAGCCATCCTCCTTAGTGACCAGTATCTTACCTCACCCATTGGCAGATACACAACAAACAAAGACCAAACGTAGACAACGAGGTCTAAAAACGACACGCAGGTACTCCCTGTCTGGTGTTTACACCACAAATCAGGTACCTATCACACACATAAAATCCAAATGTAGCAGTAAGACTTTTAGTGGTGTTCATCAGCACCCAAGTAAGACTAGCCACCAGACTAATTTGCCTAAGGATGCAAATGACCCACTTAAGACTAAAGTCTCCCCCAGGTAAGTGTCATTTCTGGGCACTACTGCTTGTTCCTCGAGGCAATATACTAGTAACAATTCTGTATCTCTAGCATTTGTGAAACTTCAGTTTCTCTCTTACCTCATATTTTATATTTCTTGGATTCAATTTGAATAGCACAGTAGTATAATGAACATTGATATATGTTTGTATTACTTTTGGAATACATTGCCGCATGAAAATTAAGAATCAAACTTGTATGTGCTACTCATGCATATCTTACTCAAACACAGTTGATATATAGCACCAAGAAATTTTTATACCAAGTTAAATTAAATGGGAGAAGATCTCCCAGTGTAGAAGATAAGTCGTTAAGATTTCCACAGTCATGAAGTGGTAAATCTGGTAAAGAGTGCGGCAGAACTTTGAGTCGCCTGTCACCATGATCTCTAGGACGTTGGCTGGGCAATGCTGTCCACATGTCGTAAACACAAGTGAACACACACACTCAGGCAACTTTTTTCCTCCATATTCACATGTATTTAGTCATGTGTTGTTGGCATTCATCAAGTTAGAGATAATTCGTTCAGTGGCCTTATTAACTTTACCCCATCACATCCAATCCCAGCAGTACCTGTGTCCTAGGCTAAATGTTAATTGCCTATACAAATAAATGCAAAAAATTTCAAATCTACTGATGTGATTGTTAAAATACTGTAGTTTCTTATAAAGTGCAGGTATTTATATATTATCAATAGACAGTAAGTTTCTTAAAATTACTAAGATGTTATTTATTGTAGATACTCCTATAATGCTCCATATTTTTTTTTACAATTGTTTATAGTTGAATATTTTTTCTTTTTGGTGTTTGACAAGTTATACTGTAGTTTTACTAATATTTCCCAGAAAATCTGTTGAAAGTATATTCACATAAGGTTCTTCAAATATTTTTATCCAGGTGATGACACAGCCAGGATTTAATACCTGCATGGATTGGATCTGGTGGTGGGAGGGTCTCAATGGGCAATTAATGATCAGAAAGTGCCCATCCATCCGTCCACACACACACTGTCAACTGCTGCCACCACTGCCAGTGTTCCAAATGGTGATACCATAGTACATGCCCTTACTACTTGAGGACCTATAGATGTACAACATCCACCTGTTTAATGCTTATGGTCATGAAGTTCATAATGTAGAATTTTTTATGCTTAGTTCACTTCGTGGGTAAGTTGCTACTGTAGAAACTGATCAGTTTCAGCAACAAAAAAGTGAAGATAAAATTTTTATTTTAAACTTAACATGACCATAAGTGCATTAGAGCATGTTAGGAACTGTTCAGCCTTGGTGTTAATTACTTAGCACAAATAGGTGGTTGGCAGTGGGTGTAGTATTAATTTCATTTATTGTAGGGTTAACCTTTTTTAATTTACTATGTGTGCTGGGTATTATGCTCAGTATGTCTACAAGAACTAATAATACATCACT